ATATATATACCTAAATTTTTCTTGTTTATTTGATATATGTTTCACACCGAAGATGCGTCACACATATCAAAACGGCCAGGCCTACTGTGCAGCATTTAAGGGGCAAGATGATTCAGAAAACAGAAAACATAAAACGTGGACATCTCGTACCGTACGTTCCGATTTTGGTAATTATATGATTGGTTGGTCGTTGGAAGCATCAAAGCTAGAAAGGTTAAGTGATGCTCCATTTTCTTTTATGACTTATGGCTATAGCGCCATTACTCGCTTTCTGAAAAGAGAACTACCCGAGATCTTGTCACTATTATCAAGTCATAAAAAGTAACAAGGACTAAAATGTGATCCTTTGATAACTGTTTCCTGATTCCCTAGATTGAAGTTGTCACGACTAGGGTTCGGTGCTGGATCTTATACCAGTAACGCACCACAAAAAGGTGATCACCCACCGTTACTGGTTTGAAAAGATAAAAATTTACAAAATGGAACGAACTCACCAAGTTTAGCCAATTGAACCTGAAGGCTGCTTGCCATGTGTTGATGTAGAAGTCCAAATTGTAGGCGGAGCTGGACGAAGTTCAACATGAACTAGTCCGGTTTATGGTAGTTGCGTGGAATGTCTTCCGTCGATTTGAGATAAACAAATGTTCGGATGTATGTAGTCGATTTTTTATGTGCCTTGGCAAGTCTTTTCGTGGCCAATAGTCAGGTTCAACGCTGCGACTGAACGAATTATTGAGCTAATGGTGGGACGAATGATTGTCCCACCTCGTGGAGGTTCTACTTGGCTTCGGAAGCCGTCACGAAACTTCCTTCTCCCATTCTTTGCGAGTATGCGACATCTTCACTCTTCTTGTAAATTGTCTTAATGCACTTCACCCAGGTTTTGACCTAGGGTTACGTCTTTTGGCAACATATTGGGGGTGCAATTTCAAAAAACCAAAATCGATCGCATTAAGGCCTGTACTCGAAAAAAATGCACCAGACAAAAGTGTTCGCCAAAAATTTATTTTAAGTCGGATTTTCTTGAAACTTTCAGGGAATGAACTAGGGGAAATGACGGCTTCGGCATGACAGACTATTTCCGGCAACCCAAATTGAAACACTATTTTCACTGGATTTTCTTACGAAAACACTTCGCTGAATGCATGCAAACGATTATTTATGCTTTCAGCTTCAATTTGACTATATTTTTACCACTGAGAAAAAGCAATCTAGCAGGGTTTTCTTGAAATGAAACACACGCACTACAAATTGTAGCTGATTTCGAGCTGCCGATAATAGAACAGCAGATTTACATGCAGTTCAAATGGAACGGTTGCCGAAGAAAAACTGGTTGCCGACAATACTCGCTCTCACTAGAGAAGTTTGGAGCTTTGTAAAAGCGTTTCAAAACAGTTTTTGACAATTCTTTCGACTGAAATTGTTAGAGCAGCTGGCAGCAAAAGATTGTAAACAAACCAATACTGCATATGTGTGCGTTCCATAGAGAAAAGGCTATAGAAAGAAGGTCGCAGCTTAGGTTGCCGACAATACGTAAATTCCCCTGATACATATGGATTATGTTTCGGCATAATTACTTTATTCAATTTCCTTTCCATCGCTGAAAGCCCGCACCTTTCCCTTAAGACCCCTCATTACATTTTGTGCAATGGTGGAGCCGACCTTTTTGGTCACTTTCATCCATTCTTTCTTCAGCTCCAACTCGTTCTTAAACACCTTGGACGATTTTTGAACTTTGGCCTTCATTATGGCCCGAAATCTTTCCACCGGACGAACCTCTGGTGAATTTGGGGGGTTGGCGGTTTTTGGTACAAAAACAACGTTATTGTCTCTTTAGCAATCCAACGTCGATCGCACGTAATGGCATGATGCCAGGTCCGGCCAAAATAATGTCTCGCCTCCGTGGGACCGCAGGAAGGGCAACAGACGCTTCTGGAGGCACTCGGTGCGGTAAATTTCGCTGTTGATGGTACCCATTACCATTATGTTTACTCAGTTTACCGCATTGGCATATGGCCTGCCAGAGCAAGTATTTTTTGGCGAATTTGTCCACTTTCTTCTTCCTTATGTCTTCCGGAACATAAAACCTGCTTTGCGTCTGCCTTGATGTAGGTTTCGTCATCCATAATAACACACACATCGGTTTCGTTAACCACTCTCGATACAGTTTCCTTGTGCGGGATTTGGCCGCCGTGTTTGTTGATCACGCCGGTTCGGTGCCTTCCGGACCTTGAATGCACGAAGCCCAGCTCGTTTCATGGTTTGCTGAACGAACCAGGCGGAACACTTTGACTTCAGAGCCGCGTCGCGAATCGAAAGGTTCGGATTACGCTTGAAATAATCCAACACCTTCCGGGCCTTCACAGGGTCAGCTGTCTTCGATTTTCTTCCACTTCCAGCCCGCCGCTCGGTCGTCTGGGACTCCTTAAACGATTTTACCACCCCAGACACAGTTGTATGGGTGATTCCCAGTTGTCTTCCGATCCATATCATGGTCGCAGTCGGATTTTCCATGATGGTGCGCAAAATTCTCCGGCGATTTTCTTCGTGTTTCGATGACATCTCAATAACCACTGAACTGATTGTTATGAAATTTTGCACATGTAAACAATAAAACCAAACTAGTTATACCCAGATTTTCATCAAAAAAGTTACACACGGATAAAAATGGTGCATTTTTTTTCGAGTACAAGCCTTACGAAAAGAGGTCAGGTTTTGACCACATATAACTCTGTCAATAGCAGATGGTTTTTAATTCTAAACAAGCCAAACGATTGGAAATTTATCTATCAATCTGTTAAAATGAACACTTTATTATTGTTCTATAGGTTACTATTGAAAATTACACAAAAGTCCAACTGCTGCAATGATGATCAAATTTATCACCGATTGCCTGCAAAAAGCGCTCTCCCTAACACAGATTCAAAAATCGAATTCGATTGGTGGTGTCCGGTCATCGGTATCAGCAGCAGTAGTAGCAGCAGAAGCAGTACTTTCGGCGTGTGGCGTTGAGCATTGTTCTCCAGTACACAACGAAAGGCTACCTGCAAGCAGCGAGCTGCAGAGCTCACATGAGCAACCATAGAGGAGGAGGAAGAAGTCCCACCGCTAGGCTAAGATCGGAATCAGTAGCTCGTTGTGCTCAGCTCAGCATTACTCAACCATCACGATAGAACGGTCCTTTTCAGGACCACCATAAATTTTTTAAAGAGTATTATTTGGACATTTGTCATGGTCATCAGTTCCTGCAAGCAGCTAGCTATCAACCTGGTCTATAGAAGGTGTGGAATTGTAGGCCCGAATGTATTGGTGAGATTAATCATATCGTTCGGTCATTTTCCACAGAGACGGCGCTGTTCCGCTGGTAGGAAGTGATAAAAATCCCCATATAGAATTTGAGAGAAGTGGGAATAAAATTCGCTTTCGGTGCATATTCAGGACAAAAAAAAAGTTAACGGCAACCTAAATAAATTAGTCAGGGACATTTATTTATTTCCCGGAAATAAGAAGGATTTTTCCCCATACAGTTTTACCTGCTTTACTGCCAGTCCCCAGAGAGCCAAAACATTCAAATTTGTGAGAGAAAATTAGCTCTCACGAGCTCAATCTCTCAACATGCCATGTTTTTTTATGACACCCAATTTGTGATTTCCCTTTCACAGATTACAAAATAGAGTACCTGACACTGACACTGCACCGTCCTCTGTGAACAATTATCGGAAAACAGATTCCGATAGATGCCACCGCCAACAACAGCAGTGACATCTGATGGAACATGAATGCAGAAGCTTGACAAAATTATTAATTAGTTTTTCCCTCGCTTTTATTCCACTTCGCACGATTCGTTTCTTTCGTTTACTCAATCACCCTTGTAGTGACGTTAAAAAGTTTGTTTCGATCGGCGCTTACATAGGAAATTTAATATGGATCATAGAATTTTTTGTAGGCGAAATGGCTCTAATGTTGGCCTATGGATCTAAGATTGGGCCCATCGATAAAAATCTGCTATTTATCAATTTTATCTAGATGAACGCGACATGGGGACGGTACTAATACACCGTTACCAGAAGTGGTCAGGTTTTGATCACTTATAACACTATCAATAGTGGATGGATTTTAATTCTAAACAAGCCAATAGATTGGTAGTTTTTCTACAAAGCTGCTAAATTGAATACTTTATCAATTTTCAATAGGCCACTATTGAAAATTGCACAAATGTCCAACTGTTGCAATGGTTATCAAAATTATCACCGATTGCCTGCAAAAGTGGTTTCCCTAACATAGTCGCCAAATATTGATACCGAGCACGTAATCCTACGTCAAATCTACGGTCGAGTCTTGGATACAACCTCTTACTTTTTACACATTCACGGGTACCTCCAGAGGATTCCCTCCTCGACACTTCATTTTTCGGAATGGGTTTCCCTCGACTAGGACACATTTCTAAAGATTTTTTTTTCCTGAATCACGAACACTAAAATATACTTTTGAAATCATCAACCGCGTTTGAAACTTCATAAAATCATACAAATTCACTCGAAAAAAGTACAGCTGCAAAAATAAAACACGTCAACTTTTCATCGCCGCCTACCACGATCTAAGCCCTGGTGCCACCAACGTCAAGGTACAAAAACTAGCCATGGAGAGGGAACTATAGCAAAGAACTGTGCTTCAGTCTTTTTTATTTTCAAGAGTTGATTTCTTCAATAATCTAAAGGGTTGTCACTACGCATTCGATATTTCAACTTCACATCCAAATTGGAGCTATACCCTAGTCCTAAACCAACGTGAAGTGGTTAGTATCGTTTCCAGACTTTTCTTCAGTTTTCGCAATAAACAAACCAAAGTTATCCAATGTTCGCCCACTCAAGCGTTAAAAAATCCTCTTTTGTATCACTGTTCGCCTTAACGATCAACCCCATGCTTATAAAACCTACCCTCTCAAAATAAATAGAACGCTAACTGTACATATGTCAAACTGTTCCGCGCAGATTACTCACCTCAGAACTTTCATCGTAGCTCATGTTCCTGCTGAGTGCGCACCAGCCTTGAGGATGAATCTGCAATAAGGAAGTACCAAGTTAGTGACTGACTGAGTTCGTTTTAATGGTTGATCACCGGCATCATGGCTCCTAAAAAACTAAACAACTCTTCCTCCTCCTGCTCCTCTTCCCTTTCTTCTGTTCACCTTCTGCTGACACATTCTAGGAGGAAGCAGAATGTTCCGCTAACTCGACGACTACCGCTAGCTAACCGGCTGCTGTATGACGACGACGACGACGTCAACCAAGCCGCAATTACTAAGGTACACCGACTCATGAGTGATCGATCGCCCGGAGCCTCTTCAGCCACTAACAAACCAGAAGTTGTAAATCCATGACAAATTACAATTAAAGCCGAAAAGATTCAACGAACCATCAACACTGCTCCTCTAGTATTAAAATGGGTAGCTTAGTGGCTGTTCGTTATCGGCATCCGAAGCGAATTTAATTGGCCATATAAACGCCGTTGCCAATCATGAGCGAGCTTTTCACACACCTACTCATAGGTTGAACGAATCCGAATCTGAGGAACCACATCGGTTTGGTCTTTTTTTTTTTTTATTATTATGCAACAAAATCACAGAAGCGTACAATTTGAACTCCGTTGGTTCACCTTTCGCGCGAAAAACACCGCCGTCGTCTCGACAGTCGAATTCAAAGTCAGGGTCAGCCAGCAGGCGCACTTAAGTCGGTGCCTATAAGCACCACATGCCGCTCGCACAAGCAAAAACGAGTTGGACCGCAAAGAGTCAATACCCTCTAGCGCCTCTCGATGGACACTCGTAGCAGCAGTTCAGTCGCTGCTTCTGGGCATTTACAATGGGCCGATTGTCCACGGTCAATAAATCTGGCGCTGCATGAGCGTGAATTGTTTTGGATTTACATGCTTCGGCTGCCTGAGCGCTGCTGTGTGAATCACCACAACAGAGCACACAGAGAAGGAAGGGTACCGAACGAACAAGTACCCCGGAGAAGGAGGATTAGGAATATCAGAACGGAACCTACCTGCAGGGAACTGATGACTTCCGCGTCGTTTCCTTCCGGAAAATCGCTGACCAGCTCGACTCGGTTGTACTTTTGTTTGCGGGAGAAGGCCTGATCGTACCGGGCCGCATTCGGTATAAACTGATGGCGCAGCTGCATCAACCGGTAGAGATTGGGCTGTAAGAAGGAAAGTTTTTAATCGTGCCGATCGCAATCGGGATGGTGGGTTCGTGGTCCTACCCTGAATCCGCGCAGATCCTTGGCCAGCGAGGCCAAATTGAGATTGTGGATGATGATCAGATAGCCCCCGGTGGTGCATATCACCAGTCGGTTCTCGTCCGGCGATAACCGGCAGCGCATCAAGCCGGGCGTGTGGAACACCTTCTGGTAGACGAAGCCCTGCTCGGTGTAGCTGTTGATGTCCCAGGTGAATATCGACCCGTCGAAGCCGGACGTCACCAGCAGGCAGTCTTTCTTGCAGTATTCAATGTTTTTCACCCAGTTCGAGTGACCTTGCAGGCTGCGGATTTTCGATTTGAGATTCCGGGTGTCCCACAGGGCGACGGTGGTGTCATCCGAGCAGGTGGCAAACATCCGATTGTCGAGGAATCTGCAAAAAATAAAATAAATCTAGTCGTAAGAGCTTTGCAATCACAAAAAAAAAAACAAGTTGCAGCAGGTGTCGCCTCATGGAGCGAAACCGGATAACAGAGAGCTGGTATTGTGTCAATACCTAATGGGATACAAGGACATTGTACACAGCGCAGGAGATCCGATACTCTCCGATACTCGCGTGACCATGAAATGATAGGATTTGCACGCGCTTGCAGGTGTTTTTGCATCAAATTCGAATATTTTTCTCTGTGAGATTGGATTCCGGATGTTAACGATTTATGCAGCGTGAGTAACTCGATACATCAGTGTAATTAAATATTTATAATAATAGGGTCCCAGTTAGACTTGAGGGGCCTCTGGTAGTCTAGTCAGTAAAGGCACGGCATTGCCAAGCCGGAGACGGCGGGTTCGACTCCCGAATATGAAATATGGTACGCATCCTTTATGGATAGATCTATATAAAGTATTTGAACAATTATATAAATTTAAGGCGAACCAGCCAATGGCTGAAAGCTTGACCCTGATTCCGTGGGTTCCATTTCAGAATACCATCACGGGAAAATCGTTCCGTACTGAATAATTGTTTAAAGCGTTTTCATCTATATAAAAATGCTACCTTACCAATCAGGCTAAGGCCTTGTTGTCATCTGCTGTCCGAAGAAGTCGTATCCACTCTACTCGATCCATGGCCACCTTTCGCCAGCCTCGTAGTCTGCGAAGGGTCCGCAGGCCGCCTTCTACTTGGTCGATCCCCCTTGCCCGCTGGGCGCCTCTTCATTCGAGAACCATTTTCACTGGGTCGGATGGTTCTCGCAGCAGCTGGTGCAATTCGTGGTTTCATGCGCTTCCTCCACGCTCCGTTATCCATTAGCACTCCACCGTAGATGGTACGCAACACCTTCCGTTTGAAAACACCAAGCGTTCGTCCTCCACGAGCATAGTCCAGGTCTCGAGGCCGTAGAGGACCACCGGCCTAATCAGCGTCTTGCAGATAGTCAACTTCGTGCGGCGAATTTTATTCGACCGGAGCGTCCTCCGGAGTCCAAAGTAGGCACGATTTCCTGCCTTGATGCGTCTTTGAATTTCTCTGCTGGTATCATTTTCGGCGGTCACCAGTGAGTCCAAATACACGAACTCCGTCGACCACCTCGATTTCGTCACCGTCAATCTGAACTCGGGTGAGAGGCTAACATTGTCTTCCCTAGAACCTCTTCCTTTCATGTATTTTGTCTTTGATGCGTTGATTCTGTCCCATTGAGAAGACCCTCTCCCAAACTCACCATCTTGAGGGAATCTGAAAAGTACCTTTGACTTGGCCTGATTTATTTCAAGTCCTATAGATGCTAGGAGAGGTTCCAGCAGTTCGATAATCTTCTCAATGTCTTCAGTTGATTCGCAGATAAACAGTAGGTCATCCGCGTACGCCAGTATAAACGGGAACGCAATTCGTCCTATCTCGTCCACGTTCAGGTCCGGTAGGAATTCTTTCAACGTAGATAGAACATGGTGCAGCATAATAATGAATAATACTGGGCTGATTGGGCATCCTTGTTTTATTCCTCGGTTTTTCCTAATTGACGGAGTACGGTTTCCAAACCATTGAATGGAAGTAAGCTCATTGATGCAGGCTTTTATTATTTGATTTATCAGCTCATCCGATACATTCATGGATTTCAGAATCGTGGGAAGTTTTGAGATGTCAATCCTGTCAAAAGCTTGTCGAAGATCCAGTGATGCCAAGATGGTTGGTTTTCTCTTACGCCATCTTTCGTCGAGAATCCTGCGTAGAACGAAGATTTGGTCGCAGACGCTGCGCTTCTGCTGGAATGCCATCTGGTTTTGTGGCAATGGCGGGAGCTGCTGTTCCAGTCTACTTAGTAAAATTCTCGCGTATAACTTATATGCTACCGAGTAAAGTGTGATGCATCGGTAATCACTGGGCGATTGAGCGTTGTGGATTTTGGGAATCGGGATTTGAAGAGAATTCATCCACTCTTTAGGAACATCATTAGTTCTGAATATGTTTTTGATTAAATCCACCAGGATGTTGATTAGTTCCTCGGAGCCGTGCTTCAGTAGTTCACCTACAATTCCGTCCAGACCTGGAGCTGAGTTATTCTTCATACTCATGAGGATTGTTATAATCTCCATTCTGATAGGTTCGGGCCCTGGGGAGCGATTGTCTGTTTCCTCAATTAGCTCAATATCATGTTCTGTTGATTGTTCTCGGATTTTTAGCTCCCATTAACGTGGATGAATTTCCATTGTTTGCTGTTCAGAAATCGGAAGGTTTTTGTCATCTTGTTTAGTTGTTGTTTCATCCCGCTTTTCCATCCGTGCTTTTTCGCACTCTCTCCTTAGAGTGCTGTTGGATCTATCCATCAGGAGTTGTTGATGGACCTCGACGTAGTTTTGTGATGGCGTTCGATAATGCTTTCCATTTTTCATTGGTGCTCATCCGATTTGCTAGGTTTTGTCTATGTATGTTGACATTCAGAGCTCGTTGATACTTTTCTCTAGGTTTCTCATCGGTATTGAGTGCATCCACATCGAACTTACGACGCTTCGCTTCAGCGCGAGTAGATGTTGAACTGACGGGAGTTAATCTTAAATTCGGATTGTTTTCTTTTAGAATTCTTATGATCACCTTGTGATCACTCAGCTTGCTTGGATGAACAAATGCCTTAACCTCTGGATGTTTGTAGCATTTCATAATGCTCATTAACACGTGGTCGATTTGTGACTCGCTTTTTCTGTTAAACCATGTAACTCGTACTGATGGTGATTTGGAATACGTTAGATAATCCTTTAACTTCAAACAGTGCAGAAGATTCTTCAATTCCAAACCGTTTGTGTTGCATTCTTGGTGTAGTAGGTTCGGACAAATGTAATTTCGATCGTCGTCCGTTATGCTCTGTATACCTAGATGAGCATTGAAGTCTCCGATAATCACCTAGAAATGTGATATGTAAAAGGGCATGTCATGTTACAAGATTCTATTTAGGTTAGGTTTGAAAAGTTGAAAACATTACTATTTTGTTCTGCAATTCCTTGGGTAAGTTAAGTATGTAACGAATTAATGCAGCGAATTCTCCATTCTCTTCATTTGTCACCGGTCTTATATAGGTTGAAATGAAAAGTACGTGTTGTCCCATCACTTCGCATAGGTATGAAGCGGAATTGCTGCTGATCTTTCGGAACATATTCTCCCGATGGATTGTTTTATCGATCGCTATGACTGTTCCTCTTCCTTCTCGCTGACGCGTGGTATCGTCACTTTGTTGCGTTTTTCACTCGTTGAACATCCTCTGATGTTCCAGGTCGCAAATTTGAACATATTATTTTCTAGCTGTTCGGATGGGCCATTGTCTGGTCCTTCAATCGCTCCGCTGCGGTAGCTTATTCGAGAGGAATCTACATTAGGATTTCTCTGCCATGCTTCTATAGTGCTGAGAGGGACGTTGAAGATTCGGTTTTTGGTTGTACTGTGCGTGCGGTGGGATGAATGTTATTAACATTCAACCTTTGTACCACACTGTCGTAATGATTCCGGCCATGATTCATCCTTGTGGGCTCCATTGATTGTGGCTCCGTGGTTAAACTGCATGATGTTTACGCGTTCGTTGTAGACATCGATCCGTTTGTGCCACATTTGAGATGCGGCAATAATTGTTTCAACACCTCCCCATTCTGCCGTCGTCGCTAGATTATGTAGGAAATGTTGATTTTTTCCTCTTGCGTGTTTCCTGGAACGGTTATGTCGGGATCCGTTACATGGGCCATCAAAATATCGTGAAATGACTCCATGTTGTTTGTTATGTACTCCACTACCAGGCATCGTGTTTCCCAGATTTTCCTGTAATGTTGCTTGCTTCGAACATCCGTGCGGTATATTTGGTTTACGATCGCGGAGAAAAGGCAGTGTCCATCCCTCTCTGTAATTTTCACTAGAACAGCACCTCGATTTTGAATCTTGATATCAACCAATATATTTCCAAATATCAAGATTATTAAATTTGATATCAAAGTTGGGTTTCATTTTGTTTTCATTCTCTGCTCGGGACCCCGTATTAAGTTAAATATTATGAAAGCAAAATCAGTAATCAAATTGATTTAAATGAAAGTAATCATTAATCAAATTGATTTAAAGCAAAAGTAATCAAATTGATTTAGTTTTCCGTTTGATTTAACAATGTAAAAATTTCGCTCATTTTAACTGTGTTAACCGTTAATCCATAGAAAACGAGATCAACTGGAGTAATCAAAACAAGGTACAACATAACAGCGAATTTTGATTTCAATTTGATCTTCAGCTTTGCTCGGGAAGGGAGTCCCGGATACAATCTGTGCGTGCTTCAAACGTCACCAATCACTATATTGAATCCGATCAAAATTTGAACGAACCTGAAAAGCTACGTCGAAGCGTTGTAAATTGTGCATATGATTATGATTTCGCGTTCTACCTCTCTATTTACTACAATTCCCATCGTGATACTGCAATTGTCAATGACAAACTAGCCAACCAGCCGTTTCCACTATACACAGTACTCCCTTGCCTAATTGCCCCAACAAACAATGTTAGATCGCAAGTGCAAATTACAAGAGTGCGACACTTCACGCGGCTTATCGCCGCTCCTCTAGGAAATGATCTAAACAAAATAAACTAACAAGACACGAGACTGCATATGTCACGCCACGAGTATGCATGTGTGCATATTCTTAGCTTATAATGTCTAATGACTTCCAATCGTGTTGTTGGCAGAGACAATTAAACGAACAAACTAACTAACTAACTAACCACTCGCAGTTCCCTAAACGATCCCGTCGTCAATGGCACCAGATGGTTGATTTTTCCATTGCTGTAAAGCTGCTTAGGTTTTATCTAGTCGTAGTCCACTGAACACATAATACTCAACTGGGTAAGACACTTCGAACTTGTTTTCGATTCCTACCCTGTACTTAGTCGCACCAAACTATTAGCGAATTTGTTTATTA